GTTGGTGAACAAACGTGCGCTCCGTTTTGTTTTTAGAGATAAGTCCTCTCCTTATGAGGAACTTTGTAAGCGTATCGGTCTCTCAAGTCTTCGTGAACAGCGATTAGCGAAAATATTGTCCACTGTCTTTAAGATATTAACCAGTGATGCAGGACCAAAAAGCTTACGTGATCTTATAACAGTTAGGTGCTCCACTTATAACCTTAGGGGCACCACAATACTNCATCGGCGAGAAAAGTTGCTGAATCACAATGTCACCCAAGCTTTGCTGAGATGGAAGTGGATGGTACTTGGGAAGTTTGTTACTTTCTTCAACGCGTTAGTATTTGCTGTTTTCGTTGTCTTGTTTTCAAGCTTCATTGTCAAAGAAAGGGAAAAGGTTAAACTTTCACACTCTTCGAAGAATGAGATAACAATTGTTGAGGACAATGATAGCTTCCTGAACCAGACGCCATGGATCATTATTGTGTTTTTAGTTCTGCAGCTCATCAAAGAGTTTGTCCAAATGTTAAAAAAGTAATTGTAGAAAGGCACATCATTTTCCATTTCCAGTCGTTCAGAACGCATTTCCCAGTCACCAAATAGCACACAATTACATATTTGCAAACCACGTTTCCATGCTACAATAAGGTTTGTAATTACAATGCCAGATTCAGTTTTAATATATATTTCGGTAAATTAAAGATGAGTGAATCAAATAGTCAACGTCGTTGAGTGAATTATGTAAGAAAACTGAATAAACGAATGTTTGAAACCATCTCAGTTGCAGAGCACTATCACTTCAGGTTCTGGAGGCAGTGACCAACACGAAAGCTACGGCTACTTTGGTCACTGTGCACACATATACAAACCTGCATGATATCTACTTCTGATGATCTTCTTCACCTAGTTATATAAGTCATCTTATACTGTATTAATTTTAATAGTGCGAAATAAACTTGGAAACTTGAGGCGAAAAAAAAAAACCGCGCAAACTATATATAGGATTGTCGTTGAAAACCAATTGTTTCTCAAAATCTTATTCTAAAAAGTGTCACCTAAGATAAAATCAGCCCCAGAGCACATCTCTCCCTTTGGATAGACCATTAATGCAAGATATCCTTTTCTGTTCTAGGGTAGCACATATTGTGAGATCCTGAGTATGCCTACTTTACAATTTCGGTAGCATCTACTGGAAAGCGTTTAACGGTAACCAAAGAGAAATCTGCGCTGCTCGGACAAAGTGTTGTGAGATGGAAACACTCCGCAAACTTCCAATCAGCCCTTTACATGAGAAATTAGGATTCATTGCTAGTGCTAACAATCAGCTATTATGAAATGAAAATGTAAATTAAAGGTTAAATTTAAATTAATTTTAGATTTAAGTGGAGATTTAATCATTACCTTGAATCTCTTGGTGTCATCAAATGGCACATTTGAAGTTTCATGTCTGCGCCTTTTTTTCCGGTCTCGCGACGAAGAAAACTTGCTTAAGAGCATAAAAAAGCTTTTGCTTGATCATGTAATGTAATAACGCGTTCCAAAATAGTACTATCAGGAAACAAAACTGCATGAGCCGGTATTCTTTTATCAGAGTGCACATCTGCGATTTATTTCAATCTGTCTTACGGCAAATTTTCCAATGATAGGTGTTGCCTTTAACAACCAAAGTTATACCAAATTTCGTAGTGAACATGGATCTCAATGCAGTCTTCCCATGTATTTGTACCATTCACCAAGGAAAAGTTTCACCATCGTCGTATATTTATAACTTTATGAAATCCATAAAAAATATGAAAAATGAAAAAAGACGAGAAAAAAAATCTGTCATTCGTGACAGGCTGGTAATCATGAAATAAACTTTCACAACGGTAATTGCTCTAAAATGTGATCTATCGAAAAAACAGTTTCTTAACCTTGCTTAACGACCAGATGAGCAATTCATAAAGCTTAGAAAACCCTTGATTTATTAATTTGAATATATCAACAAAGTTGAAATGGTAAATTGGCCACTGTTACGATTATAAAATTTGACGTTTCGAGCGTTAGCCCTTCGTCGGAGCGAATAGAGGAATTGTGGGTTGTGCGTGCTTTTTCTTTTTATTTCGTGGCGTACCTGTAAACTA